TAATTGCGGTCAGGATAAAGTTCCTTCTTGGTGGTAACCGATATTAAGATATCAGTAATCCCCCAAGATATCCTGAGGGTTTCAGATCAGCTGTGATCTGAAAAAATTTAGTGGATAGTTATCCTTTTGAGGCGATCCTTTCTAAGATGTGTGTGCCTTTGTATGTCACCTTTTTATTCAATACAGACGATTAGAAAATTAGAAACGAGGCAATAAAATACCTCAGAAATATATAACATCTGTTTTTGTTCAGATCAAATACAATTATTATTGAAAAAATTAAAAATAACAGGTTTTCTATTCAATACCTTTCATCAAAACATGTATATGTTTTTAGATATTTGCTATTTTTCTTAGTTTTTCTATTCTGTGATTTTACCACATCATACCAGGTAGTACGACTGCGGTCAACGCAGTCATACTACCTCACATTGGCGTCTGTCACTTCCACCAGGCGATAACAAACACGTCTCAATTAAATAAGCTTCGAATAACGGTCAAGTCAAATTAATGGAAGCGTTTTACCTACCAATAAAACGCATATTAATTTACTTACCTTATTCGAAGCTTATAGTCAAGCTCTGCCTGGTAATGAGACTCAATGAAATAAAATGGCGAGTCTCTCTTAGCAAGCCTCCCCACCACTGCCAAATGGAAGTGACGTAGTAGAAAGAGATAGACATACAGGAAAAGCGGAAGGAGGGAAGCGGAAGGCCTATCTCAATTAAATAAGCTTCGAATAAGGTAAGTAAATTAATATGCGTTTTATTGGTAGGTAAAACGCTTCCAATAGTCAGTTGCAATCATTAGACCCCTTTGTTACGTCACCATTACGTCAAGTTTAGTGACTTACTCAGTGTTAGCAAAACGTAAATGTTAAGATAGAAGTTTTACAAGATCAAAAATTTTCTACACAGCAAATTCAACCTTACACCTCCCACACAAGAATTGAAATCCACCGTACCATCAGCTCGTTGCAGCGTAGGCGCGGAGGCGTCAGTAACGGCCACGGGCAGGGTGAGCACGGCCGCTCGACTCCTGTCGAGGCGCTGCGACACTACCACGGACCCGTTCCACTGGACCGTGAACCACGTGCCGAAGATACCTTCGTCTGATACCTGGGAGGACATAGATTAATTTTTACTATGTTATACATGTCGTGGTGGCTCGGAGGTTTAAGACGCCCGCTTTTCACGCATGAGGGTTCGGAACCTACCAACGGCAAGTATGACTTTTTCCGACTTATATGTACTTTCTAAGATTATTCAGATACCACTGAGAAACGGTAAAGGAAAATATTGTGAGGAAACCTGGGCTTATAATTTCCGATTATAAGTTTGAAATCGCCAACCCGCATTGAGCAAGCGTGGTGATTAATGCTTAAACCTTCTCCATGTGTCAAGAGACCTTTCAGCAGGCAGTGTAGGCAGGTCAGCAGTGGCCACTTATAGGTTGTTGATGTGATGTGATGTTAAGCAAATGGATATGCCGTGACGGTAGGGGAGAATACATCTCGCTATTCTTTTCGCGGGTATCGCCGATTAAGGGACCATAGGTACAATATTTTACAGAGAGTGAACATTAGCGTTCTCTGATAAACCGAAACCTTTCTCTAATAAACAGCCAAGCATGGTTATTGTGGAAAACTTATTTCATTTATTTTTAAACAGTCACAACAGCCGAAAATCCGATTACAATAACTGACATATTTAAAATAATAAAACATAAACAAAAGAAAAGTAAAACTTAATTAAAGCAAGAGTAAACACCATTCATAAGTAGAGACTGACTAATATTTATCTGGTCCAAAATGTAAAAACTTCATTATCAATACCTATTATGGTCATCAAGATGAAAAATCACAAGGGAAGTGGCATTACGTATTAAAAACAAAATTAAGTCCACTCACCTCTTTCCCATTCTTATCAACAGCCCTAATAACTCTATCTCCCATCTCATACACCAGCGACCCGTTATCCATGATGTCAGGGTCCACAGCTATCAGGTTATGTACAATGACGCCAAGCTCCACGTCTGCTGACACCTCGGCGCGTTGTATGGCCGGCGTGAAGTATGGCTTCTTGTCGTTGACGTTGATCACGTGGACTGTCAGCTCGGTCGTGCCTGTTAGACTTGGTATACCTTCGGATGGAAAAGATAGGGTAGATTGAAAAATGTTGTTGGTGAAAATTAACTAGTTCATTGATAGACTGCCTCGCTGGCCGAGTGGTCGCAAGTGTGACTTCCGGGCAGGGGGTCTCGGGTTCGATTCCCGGGTCGGGCAAAGTATTACTGGGTTTTAAAAATCTCAGTAGTAGCACGGAGCCTGGAAATGTGCTCGGTATATGGCAATAGGTTCACCCCCTATTACATGGGACTCATAACATAAATAGTGAAAAGTGGGTGTTACATTATACAATGGCATCAAGTGCCGTAATGTGTACCTCTGCCTACATAAAAGCATAAAAGGCGTGATGTTTATATTATGTTATGTGATAAGTATTACTACACATGCATGTACACTCTATTGAGGCTTACATTACTTTACCGACAATCGTCAGAACTATAAGTTTTACCTACAAAAAATTACTTACCCAAATCAGTAGCAACAATCTGTATTCTATAAGTATTCCTCTTATCATAGTCGAGTTTGGAGGAAACAGTGACGACTCCAGTGTCGTTGTGTATGGCGAAGGAGTCGAGCGCTCCCTTCTGTATCCAGTACTTCAGCTCCGAATTCATGCCGCTGTCCAGGTCCGTGGCGCGAACTGCTGCTACTTCCGTACCTTGAAGGTAAAACGTAATATTTAAGATATAGAGATGGATCGCAATTTCAATACCAAAGATTAGGTTGCTATTTAACTGAAGTCACATAAAATGGACGTAATCAATTATTTTTACTACGTAAAGTAAATATAGTCTTTTAGCAGCTATCAGCTATCCACATTTATGTCACATTCTGTATCTTAGGACCATTTTATAAGCTGGTATTCGAAGATCATACGCATCATGCTTACAAGAAGATCTTACGCATAAAGTCAAGGTTGTTTATGCCTTGATTAAAATATGGACTTTAATAATCAGTAACGACAGTTTCTTTTTATTTAATCGACATCTTATTGGACATGATAACGAATTGTATATTAACTAAGACTTACCTATCGGTGCATCTTCGGAGATGTCAGCATCATACTTGTCGGTATCAAAGACTGGAGCGTGGTTGTTCACGTCGCGGACTGTGATCTCCACTTTACAAGTAGCGTTGTGGATACCGTCTGTGGCCTGTAGAAAATTCAAAAACATTCAAAGTCAAGCCAAAATCATTTATTTCAATTAGACCAGAAAGGCACTTTTAAATGTCAACAATTAAATTAAAAGTGAAGCTATTTGCTCATTCCAAGGTGTAATGATGATCCTAAGGAGAAGAACGAGCAAGAAACTCCATAGGTTACTCTTTTTCAATCAGGTTCACAATATAATTTTCTAGTTACATAGTTTTGCTGTTTGGATTGTGCGAGAACAATGTAACACTTAAATCCAGTCAAAGTGATCGAAAAAGAAAATAACCTTAAAGACAATAAATAATACAGTCTGGTTAAGTTATTAATCGTTGAATTGAGTTTTTAAACTGTCAAACACCAAGCGGTCACCGGTGACCGCAACCTATTGTTCTATAATTGTGTCTATAATGACGGTACTTACCGAGTTAAGTATATTTAAAAGTCTTCTCTGAAGAAGATATACAGGCCGACAGAAGGGCAACAGAGTCTTAGATCCTGTTAATTATCCTTTGGACTCCCCAAAAATAGTATGTTGTATTAATTATACTTAGTTGCCAGCAAAATAGGGTATCACGGACGGATCATACTCCCGCAATTTTGAATAAACTTAAGAGAAAGTATACTCGATAGAATTTTTTAATCTTTGCCTTATGCAATCTTGTCAGCGGACATGGCCGTACCTTACTCCAAGACATTTATTTTTAAGTAAATGTTTTTAATAAAAAGTTTCGGAGCTCACAATATTACAAATTCATACATGTTGTGCCAAGTATTGTTAATCAAGTGTTTGAGAGACATGCTTCAGCACGAATGGGCCGGTTCGACCGGAGTGATACCACGGCCTCACAAAAAACCGACGTGAAGCAACGCTTGCGTTGTTTTTCGTCGTGAGAGTGAGGTTACCGGAGGCCCAATTACCCTCTCCTTCCCCAATCTCCCCAATCCCTGAATCCTCAACGATCCTCAAACTCCTAAAAGGCCGGTAACGCACTTGTAACGCCTCTGGTGTTCCAGGTGTCCGTGGGCGACGCCGATTGCTTACCATCAGGTGATCCGTCTGCTCGTTTACCGGCTTATGCCATAAAAAAAATGTGAACTCACCAGAACAGTCAAGAATATCTTGTTACTATCTTCAGGGGGAGTGACCCCGCCTGTATCAGGTCGGACGGATATCTTGCCGTTGATGGGGTCTATCCAGAACGGGTGTGTCGGCGGGTCGATGATCGAGTAGCGAATGTCGGACGATACGTCCACGTCGCGGGCTTGAACCTGTGGAATTAATATAGGGTGTTGTATAATTGGGATGTTAAAGAAATTGCAATTTTTGGTGGGGATTTAACAGATTCTAGATATCGTTTATTGTTCATTAGCTAAATGATCGCAAGTAAATGGGATCTTTGGCTTGATTCTCAGGTCGGTCGCAGTTTTAGTGGGATTTTTGAAACTTCTCACTAAAAACGACCACGTGTTTAATTCGGTACTTAAATCCTGACGGACAGAGAAATTTCATCTGTTCATAGTACTTCTCTGCACTAATCAATCATTCGTACTTTTCTTAGGTGGTAAATAAAAATGATTCTATTGTTTACATATATAAATTCTCACCCCTATTACATGGAAAATATTAACATAAATAGTGAAAAGTGGGTGTTACATTGTAAAGTGGCATTAAGTGCCATAATGTGCACCTCTGCCTACCCCTTCGGGGACAAAAAGGCGTGATGATATGATGATGATGATGTTATAAATTCTTATAAGTTTTATTGGAGTACTATTGCTTACTAACAGTCTTTAGTTTTAATTTCTTTAGTAAGTAGTAACTATTATAACTTTTAGCATAAATCATTAGTCCCCACAAACCTGTAGTTCCGGCTCAAACTTGACAGCATCTTCATCAATAGAAGCTTTATATACGGGAGTGTGGAACACTGGCGGGTTGTCGTTGGAGTCCGTCAGCGAGATCTGCAGGGACACCACCGTGCTCTGACCCGCGCCGTCGTCGTCTGTAGCCTGGGGAGGGAGGTCAAGATAGATAAGTCTAAGGCTAAAATAGCAGTAAGTACAATTTATCATTTGGGCACTTTATATTCACTTCATGTGTATTTAAGTTAAAAACACAAACTTCTTGTTAGTCGAGTCGTCAGTGCGACCGTCTAGGGGTATAAGGTTTTATTCCTGGATTGCGCATAAGTGTGTAAAACTAAAATTCTCGTTGTAGCACTGAGTTTGGAATTGTGCCCGGCAGTATATTTTTTTTTTTTGGAGGTATGGGTGCAGACGTATTTCCTGATGGTAAGCGATCATCGCCACCCATGGATACCCGCTACACCAGAGGAGTCAAATGTGCGTTGCCGGCCTTTTAAAAAGGAGTACGCTCTTTTCTGGAAGGTTTGAAGGTCGTATCGGTTCGGAATTACCGCCGACGACAGATCATTCCACAGTTTCGCTTTGCGAGGTAGAAAGCTACGTGATGCCTTACCCTTCAGGGTTTAACATTATATTTATACTTAGGGCTTTAGGTGGTAAACAATAATTAGGACACAATATGGACCCTGTCGGCCACAACAATATAACTTTTGGAGGGAACACACTTTGGCATAGTCATTTAAAGAAAAAAGGTACTTACAATAAAATCAATAACAAATGCAATACAAGATAAAATTAAGTTAAATTGTAATATTAAGGAGTCATTTTTATGAATGCTAGTCAACCGCATACAAAATATGTACTACACCAAATAAACGTAATTTTTTTTCTTTTTTTTTTAAACGTTGCCCCACACTGGGATTTTCTCCTGTGTCGTGGGTGCGTTTACAAACATATAAGTTCACATACACATGACACCCAGACCCGAAATAACAATCTGTGGATCACACAAAGAATTGTTGCGTGCGGGAAAAGAACCTGCGACACGTTGCGCGACAGCCAGTTGCCCAGCCAACGCGCCAACCGTGCAGTCGTTTTTTACTTTACTACATTCATATACACCAACGAAACGTCTAAATTGTTTATTCAATAAAGCTACCTTGTACTGCAAGAAGTAATCCTTCCTGGCCTCGTAGTCGAGGCAGGGCGCCAGGCCGGCCGTGTCGCAGGCCGCCACCGTCATCACTCCGCTCCGGTTGTCCACGCGGAACAACTCCGCGCCATTGCCCGACAACTGGTATACTATGCCTTCTGTACCGAATCTGGAATTATTTATTTAATAATTTAGTTTTATAAGTGTTTCATACTTTATTCTGGTTTATAGTATAGTTTCTTACATTAAGAAAATCGTGCACACGGGCTTTTTCAAATCTAGGTATGTAACAGGTTTTGTCATCATATGTTTACTTTATTATTTTTAAGCAAAAGAAAGGGGGAGGGGATAGAGAAAGAGAAAGAAATGAGAGTAGAAAGAGTGAAAAAATCAATATATTTGATAAATTTATTTAGTATGTCTCACGAAAGTTACAATACAAATATATTTAATGGCCATAATTGACATAATTGACACTAGTTTAAATCAAAATTTATATCAACCTCACATTAAGGACTGAAAGAAGTTGTTTTACGGAATAGGGGCAAACGAGCTACCTGAGACCCACTTTTTTCGTTGCCTTCTCAGCAAACTATGGCACAATATCGTTCTCAAACCCTTACCTGCCAGTATCTCTGTCGGTCGCGCGTATGGCACCGACCCTGGTGCCGGGTGGCGCCGCCTCAGCGAGTGTGGCGGAGTACGGCTCCTCGGCGAACTGCGGCGCGTTGTCGTTCACGTCGGTCAGGGACACCGTCACACTCGCCTTAGAAGACAGGCGGGGAGACGTGTGTAGCTCTTCTGCTATTACCTGGAACATGAGATTAGAGTTTTATGTTTTTGTTGGATTTTGTAGGAAAGAAATAAAATTATATTCCCAAAAAAAATGACGATGTCATGAAAAAAACAGGTCACGACTTCATGGGATGAGACATAGCCTTGCGGAATAACGTAGGAATTTACGTCTTTATATTTATTTAAGTTTTATACAATTGCATAAGGAAGACTTAATACTAATATTCGAGCAATATATAACTTACGCCGTTGCGAATCGTTGAGAGAATTGTTTAAAACGATAAATATTTTAACGGTGCCCTGTCAATAAATATATGAAAATATAATGTATGTAAGGAAAAATAGGCAATTGTTTGAAAAAAGAAGCGATAGACACAATTTTAATACTAGAGGCAAAAATAAGTTAGCTATACCGCAATTCAGACTGTCCAAAGTACAGAAATCCTTTATGGGGTTAGGTATTAAATGCTATAATAAAATACCAAATAGCATACTAGATCTCAATGAAAGTAAATTTAAAACATATATTAAGCGCGAATTATGTAATCAAGCTTACTACACACTGACAGATTATCTTGAAGATAAGAATGCTTGGCAGCATGTTGGTTCGGCTCCACTGGACAATACTCAAATGTAGTCAGTAGTTAAATTCCAATAGTAGGTAATATAATACATAATTTAATACTTTAATTCTAATGTAGACAATCTAGTTTCCTTATGGCATCGAGCATTTCTTTCTTTATTGAAACAAAGAGTTTCCTTTTTCTTGTATAGAAGCACTATTTCTATGGATTGTCAGTATGCATATGTGAGCACCATGTTGGACTTAAGATCTTTATTATTTTTATTTTTATTTTAGTAAGTTAGTAGTATAATGCGTCAAGCGTGTCTTTGCATTGTTCTTACATATGCGTACAGTATTGAAATATGTATCAGAGACATTGTAGAACATACTTTTTTAAAAGAGTAACGAATGGAGTTTCTTGCTCGTTCTTCTCCATTCGAATCTACGTTTTGGAATGAGCACCTAGCTTCACCTAGCTTCACTGACGGACTGACTGACAGACTATTATTTATTTTGTATTTGTTGACGTTTCAAAAGTACCAAACTATGGTTTAATTGAAATAAATGCTTTGACTTTGACTTTGACTTTGAATAGCATACCTACTCTGCCAGTAATCCTTGGGTGGGTAATGCAGAAATGTATGTAATAGGTATAATGTAAGCAAAGAGTATAATAAGTATTGTAAGTTTAATGTAAATATACATACTTTTAAAAAAGAGAACCAACGTAGACATTTCTTACCTCCAAAATAAATTTCCTCTGATTAGGATCTTCGTAATCTAGACTAGAGTTTAACCTCAAGGTGACTGAGGCACTGCCAGTGGCAGTGGCAGGTTCCACTATGAAGGCTCCCATCTCGTCTGATAGGCGTAGAGTGAATACGGAGTTCAGACCCTGGAAAATAGAAAATAACTTATGATTATGTAGAGAATATATGTGAAGTTATGCCATGATTTAAGTAATTTACATCAGTATAGTACAGTCTTATTGCATAAATACCTTCTTATTGTATAGATATAGCTAGCGATACTAAAAGCTAGCTAGCTAAGAGAAAACACTTTTGCGCAAAATTGCGCTTACTTTGCGCAAACCAGTCAATGAGATCTGGTGAGAATTCCGCACAAGAAATTATTGTTGAAAAATAATCAACGCAGAATGGTGCAAATAAGGGTGCAGTTGCTTTCATGGTGCGAGGCCCCTTGTTAAACTAGAGGGATGACAAATACTTTTGTTGTTGCAAGACCAAGGCTACAGAGTCGGCTTATCATCAGGAGAACCATAAACTATGTTGTTACTAATAATAGTAAAAAAAACTAACCACATCGGTATCAGTCACCACCATGTCCAGGTTCGGCAGTGGTGTCCCCACGGGCAAGGACTCCGGTATCTCCACGAAGTACTCGCGGCGGTTGAAGCGAGGCGGCTCATCATTTACGTCCTTTATTGTTATTGTAACCGTCGCCAGGGTTGAGGTCAGGTCTGATATTACTGGGACACCATTCACTAGTTCTGTTGCCTGTAAATTAATAAAGAGGGGTTATTTTTAAGCCTAGTATATTCTAGGGGGTCTACAAATGTACTGCGACACGTGTCGACAGCGACTTTGGGTGGAGTAGCGCGACGTTGCCAAACTTTGGTCGATCTGTCTGGCAACGTCAACATCGTTGCCTAATAATATGTCGGGCTTCGCTTGACATGTTGACGATTCATATCGGGGGACACTTGTCCCATAGTGTATTCTTGGATTTAAGTTTTGATTTGAATTAGTTAATTTGATCGTTATCATACATATGAGTTCCGATGTGACATGCAACTAGTAAAGCATTTCCCGAATAGTTTACAGAAGTCGTATATTTTAATTAATTTAGTATGTTCCGCGATTCAAAGTCAAAGCATTAATTTCAATATATCCTTAATAATTATACACTTTTGAAAAGTAACAAAATAATTAGCCTTCGGTCCATCTGTCAGTGAAGCTAGGCGCTCGTTCCAAAGTCTAGTTTCGAATGGAGAAGAACAAGAAAGAAATTCCATCGCTACTCTTTTAAAAAATATTTTTCATAATCTCATTGATACATGGTCTGATCCTTTACCTGGTTACCCAAACACAGCTTTAACAGTTTTCATAATAAGGTATAAATAGATATACCTAAAAATAGGTTAAATAAATAGAAGACTTACTCTAACGGTAAGATTGAGTGGTGATGAAGGATCTGCTAGTGCCTCTCTGTCCAGAGGCTTAGCTGTCCTCAATTCTCCCGTATTTCTGTCCAGTAAAAAGAAATCCAACGGATCTGAAGGAAAAAAGTATTTTTGTTAATACAATAAATGAGTCAGTACCTAATATTGTGGCTTATTAATAATTTTCTAATTTCAAACCCATTTAGCTATTAGCTATAAAGATTTAGTTTTACGTCACTTTTATTTACATACATAACTTCACGCCTGTCTCCCATGGGGGTAGGCAGAGACTAAGGAACGCCAATTACTACGATTCTTACATACCTCTTTCGCTTCAATAGCAGTCATCAATCTTTTCATGCATGCTCGTCGGTTAAGGGTACTTTTAACTCGTCGAGTACCGTCATTACAGACACAATTATAGAACAATAGGATGCGGTCACCGGTGACCGCTTGGTGTTTGACAGTTTAATTTGGCCCTTCTTTAATATATCGCCAATCTGGTCACTATATGTCCGTCTAGGGCGCCCTCTACCGACGACGGCCCATTTCATATCCGCTCTGTATACTTCCTTCGTTACTCTACTTTCATCCATCCTTTCTACATGTCCAAACCAGCGTAACATTCCCTTTGCAATCCTTGTCACTACATTATCTTTCAATCCACACCTTTCTCTAATAACACTATTTTTCACTCGATCACTCAATTTTAGTCCACACATACTTCTCAGGGGTCTCATTTCCACCGCATTAATCCTGGTGTGGCAGAAGAAGCATGAAATGCTTCTTCTGCCACACCATGATTCACTACCATACATAAGCGTTGGTGTCAATACACACTGCATTACAGCAAGTCGAGCTTTGCTGGATATTATTTTATTCGACATTACAGAGTGTAAGGCACCATTAACACTATATCCCGCTTTCACTAAATTTATTCATAAAGAACATAATTGTATCAAGTAACTTACTTGTCACCAACTCCAGCACAACACTCCTGGGCTGAGCCCTATCCGCATCCCTCGCCCTGACAGTGAGCGCCAGGGTGCCGACGGGCGCGTCCTCGGCCAGCGCCCCACTGAGCGCACCGCTGAACACTGGCGGAGAGTTCTGGACATCCACTACTTTGATCTCCACGTGAGCTGTCGAGTTTAGGCTGCCGTCCTGATGGTTGAATTAAATGGGTTAAGTACTTGCATACAATTTTTTTAAATATAGGTAAGAGTAACTGATCGTTCATAGTCTTATGTGTGATATTTTTGTTAATGTAATCTAGTAGACACTCTGGTTGCATACCTCATAAGGAGAACATACGTCAGGTATGTATCAAGGAGTCAGAAATAGGAAAGAGGTTATAGGATTTTAATGGTACGGAGTTTTGAACTCTAATGCTTTGTGCCACAGTACGTATGCCATATGTCAGTACATATGAGCGCTGTAGAGGTATATAAGTATTTTTTATGGCATAAGCCGGTAAACGAGTAGACGGATCACCTGATAGTAAGCAATCGTCGTCGCCCATGGACACCAGGAACACCAGAAACATTACAAGTGCGTTACCACCCTTTTGGGGATTAGGAGTTTGAGGATTGCAGGGGATTCGGGGATTGGGGAGATTGGGCGGGTAGCTGGGCCTCCCACGACGAAACAGAACGCAAGCGTTGGTTCACGTCGGTTTTCTGTGAGGCCGTGGTATCACTCCGGTCGAGCCGGCCCATTCGTGCCGAAGCATGGCTCTCCCACACTTAATGTATGTGTGTACAACTGTACATACCAGGGATTCAGAAGTAGTCATAAAATATGTTCTAGGATTTTTAATTGCACAACGCAACTTACAACCTTTTGACCGCCGCAGTCGGCTATAGCCGACAAACTAAATGTACTTAGAAATCATGTTTTCTTGTCGACTGCGGCCAACTGTGACGGGTCACGTCATATTTTGTCTGTGTTCAAAGGGTTAAAAATGAACTTAGCAATAATACATGCACCCTTAATTGTAGTCTATTTGAGAAATAGAAGAAGTTAATTAGCCAATATTATCTATACTTACATTAGCATACAACTGGTACTGGTAGAACTGCCTCTCGTTGTAGTTGAGCGGTTTCTTCAGCACTAGCGCCCCGGTGTACTGGTGCGCTGAGGAGTTCAGGGTCACCACCTCGAAAGTCTCACAGGCTTCGGGCCACTGGAAGGTAGTCAATTAAACTTTTATTAGTATAATCTTAGCCAAATACCCAATTTTTAAGTGTTATGACGTTTTTACAAACGTAAGGTACCATTCTATGTATGAACCAGGTATTAGAAATATAGATAGAATAAGTATTCAGCAATACTTTGAATTCTTCTTACTTATGTTCTTTTTATCTGGATTTCTTTACCAAAATCTTGCCAGTAGTCATTTACTCACCTGTTCATTAGGCACACAGCCTACTTCCAGGTTATCACCCACGGAATCCCTGTCTTCCACGAGGATGTTATTCAGGAGAGTCTTTCCAACCTCCTCGTCTTCTGGCACGTTCACTTCGTACGGACTCTGAAAATTTAAAACATTGATGTAAATAAAAAAATAATAGATATGAGTATTACTTTTGGAACGTCATAAGAAAATTTTAGGTGTCAGTTCCAAAAGATCGACTGAATCCTTGTCACAATAGCTACATAACAACTAGAGACTACCATATTACGACGAGTAGCATATTTATTAAGCTTAAAGATAATTTAAAAAAATATTACAGAAATGATATTGAAACCCCGCATTTTTTCCATCGGTATATTACTTATCAATATTTCATATCTTACATTTTTAAACGTAGGTGGGTTGTCATTCTCGTCCAGCACGATGACAGTGACCGACTGCGACTGCACCAAGTTCTGCACCTTGGCAGGGTCCTCATCTTCTATGGAAACTAGGAATTTAATCGTATCTTCCACCTGAAACATAAAACGAGATAATAATAGACTGGTTGCTTTCAAATTGTATTCTGCAGAAGTTTATTTTATTTTATAATCAAACCAAAAAGCATTATGTTGGTCGACAGGTCATACCCCATCAGAAGTGCGTTAAAATACGCAGATTGTCGAAACTAAAATCGCTTCCTAGCCAGGTAACTTGCAACTTACTTCCAAAAAACTAACTTGCAACTTACTTGTTTTTGTACTTAGTATTGTCAAGTTAAGCAACACCACCTATTAATACCAACTATTATGTTTTCGGGTTACTCACATAAATGTTTGCCGAGGAACTCGACTACTATGGCTTGACCATGCTAGAGGACCCGCGACGCGGCGACTGTCGCGCTGCCTAAGAGCCTCTATTACGCCTTGAAACTAGTCGAGTTCCTCGTCAAACAGTTACGTGGGTAAGCCGAAAACATAATAATTAATATAGTATGTCTCACGAAAGTTATAATATAAACACCATCTTTATTTATTTTAGCAGAATTAAACACATAACTGGCAAAAACCCCAACATCTTTGACCATCGCCTTTTATTGTTTCGCATGTTTATAAAATAAAACCTTCAGAAACTTGAATACGGACATAAACCACATACCAAAACACTTTTGTATCATAAAAACAATTGTAAAAATTCATGATAATAAAGAACATGTGCATATTTTATAATATTTACATTATAATATTATACAACAATTATAATTTTTGTGTACGCATGCATGATAAATAATGCTTTGTTTTACCAGTCATTGTGTCAGAGAATATACCGTTTTGGCCTTGAAGTTTTTGGTAAGAATCTCATTTATAATATGAATTTTGTTTTGGAGTTTTATGGACATGTTTTTTAAGCTTTATGATATCCATTACGGGATATATCAGAGTCCATTATGAACTGTTAAAATATCCACAGTAGTAAATAGTCAAGAATTACATGTGTATTTTTGTTGACACTTTCTTGAAAGGTAGGAATCATGTTAATGTTAAAGATTATGAAGATATGTGTAGAAGAAGAACCTTACCTCTCTATCAAGTGGTCGGTCTAACGTGACGTCACCAGTTTCTGCGTTCACTGAAAACTTGTCCGTGCCCACTAAACTGTATTTTATCTGAAAAACAAAAGATAAATAGGTATTATAAACTGGAATTTGAACGCATGGTAACTGAATGAATTGAAAACATTTGTCAGCATCCTTAGTCTTGACGCGGGTAAGAGCCGACTAAGGACTAATATTAAGACTACAAATATTTGACAAAGACCAGGCAGCATCGCTCTCTGATAAACTTGACCAACTGTGATTTTCAACCCGTGTAGAAATTATGCACAAACTCTCTTATGTAGAGGAGACCCAAAGTCCAGCTGTGGATTCCGAACAATAGACAATTTGGGTGGCCCACATTCCTGCAGTAGCCTCAGAACAGTAAGAATTTGATGATTGTTTTTTTTATAATATTAAAGATTAATAATCTCCACGGACTCTAGGTCCGTGCCCTTGTCATACATTTTTTTTTTATTATAATACATCTAGTCAATTTTTATAAAGTAAAGAGGGTACCTAGTTACACACTACAATCTATAATTGCTACCAAAAGTGTAAATTACATAATAATTAGGCATTATCTATTTTGATTTTGATATTTGGTGATTGTTTAATACCTAGGCATGCCATCACATTCCATATTTACATACAGTAAAAATGTAGTGAACATCGTCAAAGATCCTTACCGGTAACCCTTCTGGGTCAGATCCTTGCAGCTTATAAACTATTGTCCCGACTGGTGTGCTCTCTGATAGCGCGAGGTTGTTCATGTCCTGTGTGAACACTGGCAGCATGTTTGTGGAGCCTGCAAATAGAAAGTAAACCTCTTTAGTCAAAGTTTATGGACACACAATAGTAACCAGCAGCTGTAGCCAAATGCCATTTAGCTCTTGTCAACATGTAGAGTAGAAAACCAAATTATATGGATCGACGTAAATTTTGGCACTTGTCCGTGTCGTTACCATACATTTAGTTTTCTATTCTCTCCGTAGACAAGCACTAAAGTGGCGTTTGGCTAACGGCAGATACCGTAGTCCAAAGAGTATAATAAGTATAGGGGCCGTAGCTGAAGTACTCTTGAAACACAAGAAGTATCACAAATGCAATGTGGACTATGTAAGTGTGTAGAATTTTGGGACCGAAATAAGGTCAAACTTGGAAAAAATGCAAGTGCGACTGCCGGGCAAGGAGCCTCGGATTCGGTCCCAGAAAAAAAAATCTCAGTAGTAGCACGGAGTCTAGAATTGTGCCCGGTATATGGCAATAGGCTCACTCCCTATTACATGGGACTTATAACATAAATAGTGAAAAGTGAGTGTTACATTGTACAGTGGCATTAAATGCCGTAACCGGGATAAGAAGCGTGATGTAATGTTATGCTGGAATAGTTAAAAAACTATATAAAAAATTTCGTCTAAGGTTCTAACACTAACAGGGGAAATTATCTATGTCAAATCCAGTATATCGAGCGTAGAACCAATGGATATTTATAGTTAGCGTGAAAGTATTTAATGTTTGTTTAAAAAAAGCCTGATAACAAGAAACAAGGAGAACCGTTATTCCTGCACCTGACCTCTCTCGGGTCGTATCAGATTACCGCCCGGGAACGGATAGTGCAACAATACCTAACATTATATGTTTGCACTAACTATACCTCTAAAATCTTTTACACATTTGTTTAGTCACATTGAAGGAGACGCTGAGAGACATCTAAAAGTCTAAGATGTGGGCGAACAGTTGAAATGATAGAATCATGAAACATGGCAATAGGATCACCCTCTAATTCATGGGATATGTGGCGGTACACATTGAAGATACACCGAAATATGATAGACATCTAGTGCTGAAAATCAGCGCCGAGACTCGAGCAATCGCGCTCGTGTCACGGCTTTGTAGCTGAGCACTGGCCTTTAACTATTTGTTGCTTGTTTTTTTCTGGTGGTGCAATTAAACTGTTTTTCTTTCTTTCTAGACGAGACGACATAAAATCGTACATCGCACTAGTGAAGGTTTTACGCAAATAATAAACACGCATAGAAAATGTCAACGTTTAACTGTTGGGCAAAATAGCCTGTTCGGAGGATCCTCCTTTTCCAATTAGGGAACTTTACGATCTATTCCCTAAAGAACTCGTAAAACTACTATCAGAAATTGACGCACCTCTGTCTTACCTCTTCGGGTATTGAAAGTCATAACGTTTTGTTATACGAGCTCAACTCAAATCAAGATGGCCATGAAATAACCATTACAACTCCAAGCTTTCGCTCCAAAAACCGATATTAGTTACACAATAATCAATTTACACACATTCTACATTTACCTACCTATGAGTATAGTATACCCACTATACACGAGAACAAAATCAATACAATAACGACATACTTGTTAATTGTACTAATCAATGCTCCGGTTCAAATAACAGTACATATTTTACTAGCTACTTCGTTGATATAAGAATTTCGTTTTTCTTTGTTCTTATAGGAATTCAAGCAAACTAAACACAACATAAGCAGAGATGCACATTACGACACTTAATGCCATTGTACAATGTAACACCATGTAATAGAGTCCCATGTAATAGGGGGTGAGCCTATTGCCGTATACCGGGCAGCGGGCACATTTTCAGACTCCATGCTACTACTGAGTTTTAAATCCCCATTAAAGTTGCACGACCCTGGAATCTAATTCAAGACCCATCGCCCGGCTTTCGCACTTGCGACCACTCGGCCAATGAGGCAGTCGACCTAAACATATTATAAATATCAGCTTTCTACGGTCGATAGCTTGGCGTGTACGTTGCCTGTCTTTCAGTCACACTTAGCATTCACTGATATTGCAATAATTGTCACCAGTTAAAATATCGTTTAAAAAGGAAAGTTATAATATTTGCAATACTTCCTATATTGCTATATTGTGTACGCAATAAAATAACGATTTGATACAGTTTTGCGACTAAAGCTTGCTTCCTACACGATTAAATATGTTTGTGTAGTAAAACGCAATGTATAGTGTCTAATATTATTTTCAATATCTTCTGGTCGCTAAGTTTTGACTAGAAACATTTCAGCTAAATTTTATTTGATCATTCATCGGTTTGGGTTGAACACGGCATACCACATTTTGAAATCTAAAGTGCAATATTTCTTTAAGAAAAGTCGCGTTAAAACCCGACAAGTTAGCATTTCCAATCATTTAGAAACCTACTTAGTTTATTATTAAAATATACCTATCACTCATGTGAATTACTACAGACATCTCAATAAATTATGCCACTATAACTCTTTCACTGATAAAACCAGAGCATCTCAAAAACAAACAGCAATACAATCTTTATACGAACGCAATATGGTGCATTTTAAAGTGATTATGAATAAGGATGTGTGGTCCTATGTTATAAATAAATGTTAATTACCTGAAGTAAAACAAAGAGCCGTCCAAATGAGCACCCATCTCCATCTCGTCTCCATCTTTGGTTATCTGTAACAAAAGAAATAAACTTATTAATAACAAAAATCGTGCAGGAAAACAAGGAAGAAGTCAAAGAGAAAGTCGAAGGATGTAAGAAACGATAAAAAAAGTAAAGGGATTTGTGACGGTGATAGTAGTCTGTTTGATAGTGATAAAGAAGACATTGCGGCTTCTCCAAATTACTTGGTACAAGGGTGGAAGGATGATGAAGACGTGGCAGACAAAGGATACGTCCTACTAATATTTAAAGTTTGTATGTTTGTTTGTTTCTCACTCCTTCATGTCAAAACTAATGAAGGGAACGAGATGAAATTTAAAACAGGGGTAGATTATGGGTTGGAATAATATAAAGGCTACTTTTTGTCCCACAGCACCGCAGGCGAAGCTGCTAGCTAGCAGAATCTAATTTTACACAAATAATTCAAACTTTACCTCTTAAACTTTGAATAATGGTGAACTTGAATCACAATCATCTGCCTAACAGTTCTTTCGTAAGCAATCACTAAAAATTGTAGCGTAACGTTCCAATTTCACTGTACAATTGGCAATACCTAGGAGACTAACCGCTAATACTAGCGTGGGGCAACCACAAAAACAAAAGGACTACCAAATGCTAAATAACAGGCCAAATATCCACAAATAAACATTTAGGTCATCTTCGTAATGATGGAGTCATTGGAGTTATTACATATAATAACATGATATTATGAATGGGACATTAATTGTGACTCACTGGTGAAATGCTAAATCATTGTTATTTATTGTCATATTGTCTTCGTATGCGATAATATTTATGTTCATTGTGATAATAATGAATTGGTAATAGTTATGTCTAATAGCGTAATAGCTAGAAGAATAGATGACCTGGCTAAATGTTTCTTTTCGTAAATTTTAAGGCATCATTCCTAAAACAGACCAAAATAATGCCAGTCACTCACAACTCGAGACTGCAAAATTACAGATACAGAATTTTCCAAAATGTTTGCCACTTACTAGTCCTAAGACCTTCTGTATAATAATCACTCTACGAGTAGCCATTGTTAAACACTATAAGTAATTGCGTTTGCTACTATTGTTTGAGCCTTTGCTACTATTGTTTGAGCCGCGGAGAACCTAACGAGTTATCGGGACACCGGCTCGAAGTGCAGGAGTAGGAACGGGGTGGTTTTTAGTCAGTAAGAGTCTGACACACCCTCCCGCCTCACCTAGGCGGGAGAAGTCATTCGATGATTTACCCCCCCAGGTTACTCCCCCCCCCCCCCTTAAAAAAATGCTACTATTGTTTAAGTACCCCCAATCTCAATAGTTAATGCTAACTACTTTTGTTACCCAAATTACTTCATTTAGAAACGACGTATCAAAAACGATGACTTTATTGTAAATTCGGCATTGATCCAGAATTTTCCATTCATCTATTGGATCACCAATTTAAAGCCAGCATTTTTCCAAGTACATCCCGCCTGACCTTGCTTCAATTAAAGGTACAAACCTTGTCAACAAATGAGACCTCTTGAAATAAAGTGGATAGGGAGCTCAGTCCATTATTCAAGTACGAAATTCACATGCAAATAAGGATGACATTGCTTTGTCCCTCAGTGGTGTGCTAACTAAAATCAATTTATTTCATCATCGGCGTTTTTAATTCTGCACCAACTAAGGTTAATAAGTAGGATATATGTTATTCCATCGTACCGATTACAAGGCCTACTAACAAAGCTTTTTCACTTAGAAATAAAGTAGAATCAGACTTTGAAAAATTACATCTACTAATAATACATTTATCTTATTTACTAAATCACGGTGCAGGAGGCTTAATTCAACTAACAAACTTATATACCCTCTTTAAAACCTATTCATTTTTTACTTTATCAACAAACGCAACTGCATCTCTTTAATAAAAAAATTGCATATCCTAGAAAACGTATGCACTTCGCTAATTTCCTTTAGCTCCCTAATTACCGCTAGGTTAATTGACAGGTCAGTAGCCATGACCATAAAACACTAGAGCACCGTTATAATCGTCCTCCTTAGCTAATTAATCGTCTACTATTGAATAATCTGTCGCAATTTCTTTATAATTGATATCTATTTCCAATGTTGCAACTCGTTTCGGAATATCATTAGTATTTGATTAGTATGTATCTGTTTCATTGACTTGTTCTAGTGGTTTAGTGTTTGGTTTCATTGTCTAGAATAGATTTCTATAAGGTTTCTTGGTTCTCAATCTTATTTGTTGTTATCGAGTTTCTTGAGTAGGTCTGGAGATTTGAAGTCCAGTAGTCACAGCCTACATACAAAAAGGATTTTAAGCATTACGACTAATAAGTTCACAGTTATTTTGGTAATAAACTAGCAAGCAAAACATATGATTATTTTACTTTTGATTTATAATACGTACGCAGTACGCACACAATTTACAATATGAAACAATAATTCGATGCTATTGAACTTACAAGTATTTTTTTTAATAAATTGACTTATTATCAGGAATTTCAATGTATTTGTTTTTCTTTATTCACACTGATTCATCAAAAACAAGTAAGTAAACAGCGTATGCTCATTTAATCAAAAGAGATTTCCAGTAGATTTGGAGAGATTTCCAGATGACTGCACGGTTGGTGCGGTGGCTGGGCAACCGGCTGCCGTGCAACGTGTCGCGGGTTCGATTCCCGCACGCAACAACACTTTGTGTGATCCACAAATTGTTGTTTCGGGTCTGGGTGTCATTGTGTATGTGAACTTGTATGTTTGTAAACGCACCCACGACACAGGAGAAAATCCTAGTGTGGGGCAACGTTATTTAAAAAAAAAAAAAAAAAAAAAAAAAAAAAAAAAAGTTTACCCTTGACAAATCAAAAAAAATTAATTTAAACTTTGACCTACAAAATTAAATTAAAACAATTTAAACAAGATTGACCTACAAACTGAAGCACAAATGGATTTGTAGAATGGTACTGATAAGAAATAGAATAGATTATGAAATAACAAGATCGTGTTCACACGACATACTTGCTTACCGTGAGCACTATCATTGAGATTTAAAGTATTTTTACAAAGAATGACAATGTACTATGCGAACACCGCAAAATTGGACATTATGACGGTCAAAGTATAATAATGGTGATGGAGTTCCTCAGGGCTCTATTTTGGGGTCACTGTTTTATTTCAATGGTATTTCAGTAGATAACTTCAAATGTTGTTTTTAGAAAAATAAATTTGAAGTAAAGCTTACATTGCATTTTTAAGGAAAAATATAGTAGTAATGCATGTCACATTTCACCAACTAAATGTTACGGGTATTGGTAACGTACGAAACTTGATTCCTGTTTTGGACTACAAAAGGAAAATTTAAATTACTATAGCCACAGAAATTGGTAAAACTAAGAAACTTTTCAAGAACGAATTGGTTGTAGTTTATAGAATTAGAGAACATTACACGCGTCAGGGCAATTTTGTTAAGTAATAAACTAAATTGAACGACAAAAGGCATTTTGTTACGTTTTCTAATGTCAATGTTAACAATAACTGTGTTGAAAAGGTGAATTGATTTTTATCGATGTAATTGAATTTTATTTGAAGGCTCTTTGCATACCTCTCAATTATTTTATCTGTTGATCTTGCTATTACTTTTCATAGTATCTTATGACTAACCATCTTTCCTGATGGAACTAGCAAGGTTACATTAGGTCCCATTTATCATATATAACAAACCCTATATTAATCTATTCAACATAAAAGGCGAACTTAATTTGAATATAAAACTTTCGAAAAATTACCCAAATTAATCGATTTTAAGACACATTACCATGATCTGCACCGATCACAAAATAATTACAAATCAACCCTAACAGTTAAACCAACCAATTAATCGGCAAAAACGTCTTAAAACCCAACAATTAAAAGCGTTTCTTAATAACCGGCACACGGCAGCTGACAAAAACCGAACCAGATCTTTAGAACAATGCGTTGCACAACGCTGTTTCGCACAATTACGTCAGAATACCGTCGAAACGACATAGTTCGCTGTTGCGATTCCATCCCGCACCGTGTGAGCTTGTAGAATTTGTAGACACGACTACAACCCAGGCTATACAAATCCATTATATCATGGTCTGTCTTTGTATGATCTTTCCAGACATTCGAAAGTCAGTTTATACTGGTTTTTTAAAGTTAGATGTGTGTACAATTACAAATGCAGCTACATAGTTTTTGTTTTAAAGTAATTAATGTATTGTGTTGCTCAAGGGTAAGTCACTGTGTTTTTGTGTGTCTTTTTAAGTAATTGTTTGTATCAAGGATTATTATCTAAGATGTTGTTACTTTGTTCTCTGTTTTGTCTTATGTTAAGTGTTGGTTACTCATTAATGTCTGCTTCGGAATTGTAATTAACGTTATGTTTTTGAACGTCGTTCTAAACTAAGAGACTAGAGCCTCATAAGGCCAGGATGGCCTATTAAGGTAGGATTTGTAGAGCAATCACAATGCGATGTGTTTTCGACTTTAACTTAACTTCTTAAAGTTGAATGTCCCTAGCACGTCAAAAAGCGATAATCTGTTTAATCTGTTTTGCTTAAAGCATTATGACAATAACATCTAAATTTGAGATCTCGAATCTCTTCTAAGTTTTGTACTAAAATAATATTCCATGTTACACTAGACGACTAGAAGATGGTTGTGACATTTTGACACTTAAATTCATGTACCAGGGTTAATAACTCGCAAGTGATACTTCTAATGATGCAGACGTCCTTTGGCTGGTATAGTAACTGCTTTCCATCAATGAAACCATAAGATTTGTCACCATTTATAGTAGAAAATATTAAGATTTTTGAGATCGTAGACTAGCATGAAGTTAGGTCCATTTATCATAAAGCCAGATAAAGGTACCAATCAGATCAGGTGTATAAGCTTGGTCTACAAAGTAAACCATACAGTATCTATACATCTCCAGCAAATACAAGTACCTACTTAAAACGAAAAAAGCAAAGTGAGTTATCCAAGTTAATTAA